TTTTTTTACATAAAAGTCATTCGAACAGTAACAGCGAGGGACTTCCGCGATCGCGTCCATCGCTACGAACCGGTAACCGGTAGTCGATCCGCCGGCGCCCAATTCACGATCATTACGTGCCAAAATTTCAACTTTGTCTGGCGCTTAATTGAGGTGTAAAATACAAAGTTTTTGTGGCACTGGCGCCTAATTGAAGGTGGCGCTTAACTGAAGACAAATACGGTAACCAATATCTGGTTATCATAGAGCATTAAATTCCACAAACATTTAGTATTATTATATCTCATGACCATGACAGCCAATCAGATTATTGTATTAGAGGTTGACATTTTTGTATGTCTACTTCTTGCCATAATTGTATGTTAACCTTCATCCGGGTACCTTCCTCCTCAATTTACCTGATTTACGTCAATAACTTGTCAGGGGAACAAGATACGCAGCAATATTTTACGTTCACTATATGACTATCTTATTGGAGAGAAAAACTAGGATTTTGTAGCGATTTCGTGTGATTTTTAGTCAAGCTTGTCAGGCATTTGCCAGCGCGCTCAGTTACGCGCTTTGAGAGTCGTGGGCTTTGTCATGTGACGGCATCATTTTGTTTGATTTTGTTACATATTGTGTGTGTTTTGACAGTATATTATGTACAGTTTTGAGAATGGTGTTGACAGAAACCTATACTCAATCCGTGTGCTGCTCCGTGTGAAGCTTGTTTCAGTGTTCTACATGTAATGAGTAACATGAGTGCCACAAATTCTGTTTTAAGATTTAGTTGGTATAATAATACAAATGAACACCCCAACAGCGCTGGACATACAGTTTTAGAGACCCTCAGAGTTCATTGTAAACCTTGGCTTCACCTCTGTTGACAATGAGCTCTTCGGGTCGCTAAAACTGTATGTCCACCTCTGTTGGGGTGAACATTTGTATAATAATATAATGTACTGTATATGCAACATTCCTTACAGTTCCACTCAGCTAGCATTAGTGGATACTGATACAATCTTCCTATAAAAAGCATCCCACTTACCATACTAGATGGATGGTTAAAAATAGAGATTGTACTTGGTGTAATCAGTGCATCTTTTACCAGTATCAACTCTAGTGACTTGCTGATTGTTGGTATTATCTTTGGCTGAATAACAAAATGATGTGGTTACACATACATTCACTGTCACAAATAAAAATATGCATTTTGAGGTGAAATGCAAAAACACTCTTATCTCTAAACATATTGAAAGTGCAGACATTTTGAATGAATAAGAACATGAACTCAAGCCTATGGAGTTTTCGGAACTGAAAATGTACTAACAAGTTCATTTAATATTCAATTGCATAATGGACTTGGAAATGTTGGATGCATCATCATCATTATTTGTGGGACTGGAAATAGATTTAATATTCTGGTATATTTAAAATAAAACCTTGCAGGTATCAACAATTATTTTTATTATTGGATTATTAAGTTTTAAATAATACTCACTGCCAGATTAATTGAGCGTGCTCTGAGTAACTTGGTATCATAGCCCACAATAGTGGCAGTGACACTAACAAGACCCAGTTTTGCAGTTAACACAGCATTCTGTACAGCTTGGAAAATAACACAAGATGATTAGTTTCATGGAATTACCCACAATTCATTGGGTGCACAGAAAAATGAATGAGAATATAGCTTTACTTGACACTGTGGAGGAGACAAGTATTATACTGTGATACAATAATGAGAAGAAATTGAAACTCTCTTTTGATAATATAATATAATAGAATAGGAACACTGGCTTAACACAATGTTTTCACCATAGAAACACATGTCCTCCATTCTCAACTAAGTTTATCAACAGAATTCCTACCTCGAAGACTTTTGCTACCGGGATAGTCTCCATCTTCATCTGTAACTAAGGTAACAGGATCAACAAAACCTGCCAATGATTTATCACTTGTTTCCCAGGTAACAATCAGTGATGAAAAATTATCAAAATTATGACCGTTATTGTCGGCTACAACCACAATGATTTCTAGATTTTGAGAGTGGTGAACGGGAATCTGGAAATGAAGAATTGTTCTGTGGTTGATATAATTTATAGTGGTGACATCATGGTTAGGGTGCTGGTTGTCATAGAAATAAACAAAAAAACATTTCTCCACAGCAGTGTTGGCAACAGCAACCATATGAACTGCAATAACATCACAATCTGCATATCACAATTCACCCAGAAATGAATTTATACTGTGAATGTTAAAAAAGAATTGGTGACCTGAGCTGTCGCCAGTGAAAAACCATGGCTACTGCACATTTTAGTGTTCAAATTAATGTACACTTTACCTGGCTGTGAGAATCAGGTGTAATAGGACATGGTTTCTCTAATACTGGTTGTTTAATGACTGGTATTAAATGTAAACTTGTTGGTTTAGCACAGGATATCCTAGAATCATAAAAAAACACACATGGAAACATTTGCATTGGATACTTGAGAAATTATTGCTTATTGTTAAATAATTGTATCAAAACAAATTATCTGCTTGTATGATCAATTCTGTCAAATTTGTGAAAAAATTACAAAAACTGAAACTATACATAAATTTTGAACAATCACATTTAATTAATTCATGATTGTACAACAAGAAAATAAAGAACAATGCAAATACGCAAATATATATATATATATATATATATATATATATATATATATTTGTAGACACTGTCTTTTCTCAATACGACAAATTGATAGAAAAAGGAAGAAACATCTAACTACACCTTATTGTTGTATTGGTAGTGGCAGGGAAATGGTTTTTTGATGTAGGGTTGTTACCCACTATCACTTTCAGCATCTTTTCACCAAAATCTAAACATACTGCATGAAATAAATGATAGTTCTCTGAAAAAAAGAAAATAAGCATATTAAAAAAACTTCCTAAAACATCAAATGATCCATCGTGTCTAAGATGACCAATAATGTTACTTACTTGTTGGTCCATAACCTTTGAGATGCGTCAATTTTAACATACCGCTATCCTCCACTATTTTAATATTTTGGTAATACCTAGATGGATCCAAAATCCATGGTTGTGGCCCTCCGGATAACACCAATGTTTTGGAGGAACCCAACGCAACAACTGCCAGCTCCTCTGGATCTTAATGACTATAGAAAAATGAAA